CTCGGGCAGCGGCCCCGTCTGGACGCCGTTCCGGACCAGCAGTTCCTGCGTGGGGGAGGGCATGCCTCCTCCTGATCCCCCTCTTCCTCCTGCTCATTCGCACCCATGCTCCTTCCTCATACTCATCGTCTTACTCCTCCCTGCTGTCATCGCCACCACCAAACGTCACACTCTTCTTCCTCCTCCTCCTCCTTCTCCTCCTTTTCCTGCTCCTCCTCCTCCTTCTCCTCCTCCTCCTCCTCCTCTTCCTCCTCCTCCCCATCATCACCATCATCATCAGCATCATCATCAACAGCATCATCATCAGCATCATCATCTGCACCACCACCACCATCATCATCATCACCATCATGATCATCAGCATCAGCGTCAGCATAAATATAATAATAAACAACATGAGCATCAGCATCAGCATCAGCATCAGCATCAACAACAACATCGGCATCGACATCAACATCAACATCAACATCAACATCATCATGGTGATCATCATCATAGCATCATCAGCATCCGCATCAGCACCATCAACATCATCAGCACCAGCATCCGCACCATCATCATCAGTATAAGCATCAGTATCATCATCAGCATCGTCATCACCTTGATAATCATCCTTATCATCATCAACAGCATCATCATCACCACCACCATCATCATCAGTACTGCCACTATTATCGTCGTCGTCGTACTCATCACCTCCACCATCATCATTGTCATCACAATCGTCGCCATCGTGAGCATCATGACTCATAGTCCTTATCAGCAACGCCATCTTCGCCATCAGCACAATGTTCATAGCTATGGTGCCCCATCATCGTTAGCATCGACAACCGTATCAACATCAGCATCCTCGGTATCATCGACAGTAACGTCAACAAGAGTGCATGCGTAATAACGGTCCCTACTCCGCCTCATCGTCCTCCTCCTCCTCCTCCTCCTCCTCCTCCTCCTCATCATCATCATCATCATCATCATCATCATCATCATCATCATCATCATCATCATCCTATAATCGTCCCTCCTCTCAAGGGAGGAAGAGAAGTGAAAAGGGAAAGTAGGAGGGAGAGAGGGAGGATGGAAGCGGAGGGAAGATCAGATGCACCACACGTCTTCGTAGGTGGCCGCGGGAAAACCCGACGGGGCACCACCCGTGGCCCAGTTCAACCTGGCGCCGAGACCATAGGCACCCAGAGAGGAAGTAAAGGGAAAGATAACCATGATCAAAACTGACCGCGAAAACGTCGGTACCGATCTTGGTCACCGACCATCTTGGCCACCGTCGACTCATGGATCATCCTCGCGAATCGGCGACGGCGGGCACGGACAATAACAAGATCGGCATCGACACGATCACACGACATCCTGCCCATGTCGAGGGCGTCCCACAGGGGGTGTCCAAGAGGAGGGGTCGCAAATCAGTGGCCGAGGCATGTGCGCGAACGAGGGGGGGGGCCAGGGGGCGTCTTGAGATGAGAAGAAGGGACCATGAAATCCTGGGAGACATCGTGGCCCCCGCCACGACGTCTGGTCATCACCCCCCTCTTGGACGCCCCCGAGACAAGATGCCGCGAAATCTTCGTCATGATCAGCGCACTTCTTCCCCCGACGATCATCGGCGTCGCGCCCAGGGGGGAAGTGAGAAGGAGCAGGCGTTCTCGAAGGCGGGGGGTCTTCTCAGAAGCCCCCACGCCTCCTGAGAAGGGCTCCCTGTCTCTGGGGACGGCATAGCTCCTCAGAGAAGGCCAGAGGCCTGCTGAGCCTTCTGCGAAGGCCCGCCCCGTCCCATTTCCCCCAAAAATATCACACAACAAGTGACAAGATCAAACCTGTGTTCTGTAGGATGTGATTAGGGGAACGAAGAATAAAACTGACAGAAACACTCCGAGTGGTTGTGTCTATGTCATTAGTCGTTCCCCTGGTGATCTAGCTCTTTTTGTTGCCGAATGTGCGTGTGAGCCTGCGCCGGTCTCGCCGGCTCTTGCCGCCGAAGGTGTGCCCAGAGCGCCGCTCGAGGGTCGCGAGCACGCGGGGCGCCGCCCCGCCACGAGCGTCCAGCCCGCGACTGGGGCGGGCCGCCTTGGCCGCGCCCCCGGGGGCACCCCGCGCGCCGCCACGGGGCGGGGGATCGCCGCGCCGAGTGCCCCTGCGTGGAGCGGCTGGTGGCACGCACGCGCGGGGCGGAGGAGAGGGGAGGGTTTACGACGAGGAGGAGGAGGAGGAGGAGGAGGAGGAGGAGGAGGAGGAGGAGGAGGAGGAGGAGGAGGGGAGGGTTTACGACAAGGAGGAGGAGGAGGAGGAGGAGGGGAGGGTTTACGACGACGAGGAGGAGGAGGAGGAGGACGACGAGGAGGAGGAGGGGGAGGACGGGCCTCGGGTGCGCGCCCAGGGGGGAGGGCAGCGGGGGGCGGGCCTCCTCCACAGGCTCGGCAGGCCACCGGCCTCCCGGGGAGCTCCTCGGGGCCGCCTCCGAAGAGTGGACTATCCTTTGATTATTTTTGGGGTATTTTTCTATTCTTCGTCGAAAATCCCCCTGTAGGGGGACAGGCCCGACAGACCAGTGACGGTTGGCAGGGGGAGGAGATGAAGAGCGACTGAGCCCGGGTCAGTGCACGAGCACGAGCACGAGCGCGCGATGACGGTCCAGCGGGACCGGCCCCAGGAGGGCGGCGCGGGGGGGCCCGAGCCCTCAGTAGTCGGCCTGGGACTGGCGGTCGATCTGGAAGAAAGTGGTGTGAAACGTAGAGTTTTTGGACGCCTGGTGTATTCTGGAGTCCAATGGGTGGAGGTGAGAGTGATAGGTCGGATAGATGGGCGTGGAGCCTCCCATTCCAAGCTTCCCCCTTCGACGGGCCGATGCGAGGCACGCAGCGGGACGCGACCCCTTGCCAGAGAAGGGCGAATGACTTGGGCATGCGCCCTCGGCCGCCGAAAGGAAAACCGTCTCCGGTCGGTTGCGCCATAGGTTGCGCCCTCAGCCGCCGAGAAGATAACAGTCTCCTTCTGGTTGCGCCATAAGTTGCGCCCTCGGCCGCCGTCAATAAAACCGTCTCCAGCCGGTTGCGCCATAATTTGAGCCATCGGCGGCCAAGAATAAAACCGTCCCCTATCGGTTGCGCCATCGGTTGCGCCCTCGGCGGCCGAGAATAAAACCGTCTCCTATCGGTTGCGCCAAAGGTTGCGCCCTCAGCCGCCGAAAAGAAAACCGTCTCCTATCGGTTGCGCCATGGATTGCGCCCTCGGCCGCCGACCCTAAAACCATCTCCTGCCGGTTGCGCCATAATTTGAGCCCTCGGCGGCCGAGAATAAAACCGTCTCCTATCGGTTGCGCCGTAGATTGCGCTCTCGGCGGCCGAGAAAAAACGTCTCCTATCGGTTGCGCCATAGATTGCGCCCTCGGCGGCCCAGATTAAAACAGTCTCCTATTCCGATTGCTTGTGCCATAGGTTGCGCCCTCTGCCGCCGAGAATAAAACCGTCGCATAACGAGTGCGACCAGTCAGTTCAGTTCAATTCAGTTCAATTCAATCCAATTCAGTTGGGGCCGAGAATTAAACTATCTCCTATCGGTTGCGCCATCGGTTGCGCCCTCGGCCGCCGAGAATAAAACCGTCTCCTATCGGTTGCGCCATAGATTGCGCCCTCGGCCGCCGACCCTAAAACCGTCTCCTATCGGTTGCGCCATAGGTTGCGCCCTCGGCGCCGAGAACAAAACGTCTCCTATCGGTTGCGCCATAGGTTGCGCCCTCGGCGGCCGAGATTAAAACCGTCTCCTATTCCGATTGCTGGTGCCATAGGTTGCGCCCTCTGCCGCCGAGAATAAAACCGTCGCATAACGAGTGCGACCAGTCAGTTCAGTTCAATTCAGTTCAATTCAATCCAATTCAGTTGGGGCCGAGAATTAAACTATCTCCTATCGGTTGCGCCATCGGTTGCGCCCTCGGCCGCCGAGAATAAAACCGTCTCCTATCGGTTGCGCCATAGATTGCGCCCTCGGCCGCCGACCCTAAAACCGTCTCCTATCGGTTGCGCCATAGGTTGCGCCCTCGGCGCCGAGAACAAAACGTCTCCTATCGGTTGCGCCATAGGTTGCGCCCTCGGCGGCCGAGATTAAAACCGTCTCCTATTCCGATTGCTGGTGCCATAGGTTGCGCCCTCTGCCACCGAGAATAAAACCGTCGCATAACGAGTGCGACCAGTCAGTTCAGTTCAATTCAATTCAATTCAATCCCGCTCAGTTGGGGCCGAGAATTAAACTATCTCATATCGATTGCGCCATCGGTTGCGCCCTCGGCGGCCGAGAGTAAAACCGTGTCCAATTCTTTGCGCCATAGGTTGCGCCCTCGGCCGCCGAGAATAAAACCGTCTCATATCGGTTGCGCCATAGATTGCGCCCTCGGCCGCCGACCCTAAAACCGTCTCCTATCGGTTGCGCCATAGGTTGCGCCCTCGGCGCCGAGAAAAGAACGTTTCCTATCAGTTGCGCCATAAGTTGCGCCCTCGGCGGCCGACATTAAAACCGTCTCCTATTCCGATTGCTTGCGCCTTAGGTTGCGCCCTCTGCCGCCGAGAATCAAACCATCGCGTAACGAGTGCGACCAGTCAGTTCAGTTCAATTCAATTCAGTTCAGTTTACTTCAGTCCAGTCCAGTCCAGTCCAGTTTACCTCGCGAGTAACAAATTCGGGCTACGCCCGAAAACAATACCATTTCCCAAAAAAAACTATACAATCCCGACAAACCCTCGAAACAAAAAACGGAAACCAAAACAAAAACAAAAAATGCGTTGTTGTTCGATGGTTGTTCGGGAGGCTCCCGGGAGCGATCGGGCAAACCCCTTCAAATCGCAATTCGGGCTAACCTCCCTGGAACCCCATACAACTCAGGGGTTGTTCGGCGTCCTCATCCTGATCCAGCACAGCAAGGTTCAGCACTGGGCCCGTCGAAGCCGCTGCCGCTGCGGCCACCTCCCATTCTGGTGACTTTCTAGGAGATCGAGTACGACACGAGAATCCAGGACTTCACCAGGAAGGTCAGCACCAAGCAGGAGGTGGGCGGCCGCAAAGCAGCAGAAGAAGAGGAAAAGGTACAAGTGGACCAAGTGGGCGAAAGAGCAGAAAAAGAAGGAGATGACGGAGAAGGAATTGATTTAGGTCGGGCATGTCCCCCTACAGGCGGATTTCGAGCGAAACAAAAAAAGCACACAACAAAAAATCAAACCTAGTCCAAGACTGTTCGAAAAATCGTCCCCAGACTATTCTTGGACCATTCTTGAATATTCCTCCTCTAGAGGGACGTGCCCGACTGAAGAACTGATGGAGGAGGAGGCCCCGCTGGCCGTGGAGCGTCGGGAGCTGCCGATGCCGCCGCAGCCGCCGCCGCCGCAGGGCAGGGCGAGTGGACTTCCCGAGCAGAACGGGCCCGACCCGTGCGCGCACTTTTCGTGAGGTGCCCGAGGACGCCTCCGAGGAGCAACATTTCAGTGCCGCCGACGGTCAGAGAGCACCTTCCTCTGCAAGACCACCATAAAAGGGACGTCGACGTGGTCAAGCGCCTCGCCGGTGAAGCCGACGAGGGTGTGCAAAGTCCAGCCATCCGCTCGAGTCCAAAGTTTTGGAGTTTGGGCGTGACGCCGCGTGTGGTGCCTCCATTTCGTCTTGACCGAACAGGTTGGTTGCTCCCCTTGACGTCCGTTTGGAGTGGTCTGCAGACCTGACCCCCCAACCCTACTCAAGAGCAGCACCACGAGGAGTGCTTCATTGGTAGTTCGGCTGCCTCCGCCTCCGAATACGAGGGCGCGACAAACAAGCCTGGCCTTAAGTACGAGAAGCAGGACAAGCAGAAAAAAACAACAAAAAAAAAAACAAAAAAAAAAAAAAAAAAAAAAATGAAGGCGGTAAGGGATCGTGTTGAGCCTGAAGCTCACTTGGAGCCGTTCGGATGTGGCATGTTCGAGGTGGCTGAGGATGAGATGGAGGAGTTTCTGCCTGCCGCTGTTGGTGGGGAGGAGCCTGCTTCAGATAAGGAGCATTTGGAGGAGGGCTTCGAGGGCATGTAGGAGGACATGAAGGAGAGAAGCTCCGGCGGTTGGGCCATCTCCGAGAAGGGTCGTCGACTGGTTCTTGAAGCTCTGCGTGCTGGACTTTCAGGCTTTTTCATCCTTTGGGCATGTCTCATCGGCAAAGGCGTTGGGCATATCATTTGAGAGGCCACTTCTTCCAGCACATTTCGGCTCAAACCCGCTTTTTCACGCCAGCCAGGTAGTCTGTCCGCGAGCCTAACAGAGCTGCAGCCTACAGAGAGCAAATTCCTCCCTCCCCCTCATCCTCATCCTGATGCTTAGCCTCCTCCACCCGTCCCCTCATCCTAATCCTCCTCCCCCTCGTCCTGACCTCCTCCCTCCCTGCCTCCCTCCCCCCTAATCCTAATCATTATCTATCCCTCCCTCCCTCCCTCCTCCCTCACGGCTACACGCAAGAGTGACCCTGGGAGAGATCGACCTTTGGTGCGCGAACGAAGGTGACGCAAGGTGGCCAAATCCAAGCGCGCAGGCAGCCTCTATCGCATCGCGCTCAGCGAACGCGGGGGCACCGATGAGTCCGCACTAAAGGTAGGAGAGCCCAGAATCGAATCGACAAGTCGGATCGGCGATCGACATGAAGCGGATCGACGGGAATCCACAGCCGAGTCGGGAAAAGTCAAATCGGCAGACATCGGCAGGCTACCAGGCCTCCACTGGGAAACCGGATCCCAGATCGGAATCCGGAGGCGAACCGAAAAACGGAATCGGAACCCACCGCAACCGAATCGAATCGCGTCGGAGGAATCGAAAGGAGCCCTGTGGAGATCGCTCCGGCGAAGGGGCACTCTCGCGCGTCGTGAGTCCTCGCGCCCTCGAGGCCCTGGAGGCCCTGGCCGCCCGCGCGCGCGCTGCGATGGGCGGCGCGGGCGCGCCTTCGGCCTCCCGGCGGCGGGCCTCGTCCACTTGGCGCAGCCGTAGGTCTTCTCCTGCGGGCGGGGAGGCGCGAGATCCCAGGGAGCAGGCCCGAGGCCCCTGGTGGAGAGGAGGAGAGACGGGGGGAGGGAGCGAGGGAGGGGGAGGGGGAAGAGGAGAAAGAGAGAGAGAGAGAGAGCGAGGGAAGGGAAGGGGAGGGGGAGGGGGAGGGGGAAGGGGGAAGGGGGAGGGGAGGGGAAGGCTGAGGGGGAGGGGGAGGGGAAGGGAAGGGGAAGGGGGAGGGGCAGGGGGAGGGGAAAGAGCGAGAGAGAGGGGGGGAGGGAGAGGGAGGAGAGGGCGGGGCGCGGCGAGGCGGGGCGGAGCGAGCGAGCTGCGCCCTGCACCGGTTGCAGTCTGGAGCATCCAGCGTTACAGCCCTGCTCTCTGACAGGAGATATTGAAGGGGTCCTGGGACACACGAACAAATACACACAAATAGCAGGATCCCCCACATTGTCCCATATCTTCCTGGGCTTTCCTTTTTCCCCCCCCCCCCCCACTTCCCATACGTTCCTCATTTTTTCCCTGGGGATCGACGATTGGTTGTGTCTGTGTGTTCTCCCCCTCCTGAGACACGTCGACCCTGTAAGAACGGTTTTTTTGAAGGCAGATCTGCCTTCAAAAAATGGTCTACTCTGTAAGAACGGTTTTTTGAAGGCAGATCTGCCTTCAAAAAACCGTTCTTACAGATTTTTTGAAGGTAGATCTGCCTTCAAAAAACCGTTCTTACAGATTTTTTGAAGGCAGATCTGCCTTCAAAAAACCGTTCTTACAGAGCAGACCATTTTTTGAAGGCAGATCTGCCTTCAAAAAACCGTCCCTGGTTTCAGGAGGCTTTCGGGTGGACCTGACATCCGGGGCCCAAGCCTGGGACACACCAGGGGGGGGCGTCCATCCTCGACGGGGGCGCGTCCGGGTATGAAGGGGCCATGGGACGCGCAAAGGAATACGCACAAACAAAAGGATCCCCCATATTTTCCTACATGTTCGGGGCTCTTGTCTTCCCCCACACTTCCCATATTTTCCTATATTTTCTGGGGAATCGACGATTCATTGTGTCTGTGTGTTGCTTTCCCTCCTAAGGATAGCCCCCTGGGGGCGTATCCCAAGGGGGGGTCCCCTCCTTTTCTTTCGCCGCCCCACTCTTCGTCGACAGGTCGGGGGTTAAGATGGAGACATCGCCCGCAACTCTCTGCTTTCTACTGTCAATTGGTTGTTGTAAGCCCGCACGAGGCGAGGGGAGCCGCAAAGCGGCCTGGTTACCGCGCCCAGATCGCGCTGTCTGAATTCACGCGGGGCCGTGGGACGCGTAACAGAAATTGCAGCAGGCAGGGGAGAACGTTCCCTCCCGCCGTCAGAGAGGGCTCGAGCAGGGGATCGACTCCTCCTCCTCCTCCTCCTCCTCCTCCTCCTCCTCCTCCTCCTCCTCCTCCTCCTCCTCCTCCTCCTTCCGTACCAGACAGATCAGACAGAACCGTGCCTGGGACGGCACATCGGTTGCAGTGCGCGGCTGCTGCACGCACTGCCGCTGGCAGAAGGCAATCGCCAAGCTCGCGGCGGAGTGGTCTGAAGCAGCCTGGAAGAAAAACACACATACGACAGTATGTAACCTAACATGTTCTCGGCCAGAGGGGAGGAGAGGGAAGGGGCAGGAGGAGGAGGAGGAGGGGCGAGGAGAGGGGAAGGGGAGAGAAAGCGGTCCTCCGAAAAAATGTCTCGTCGAGTCTGCGAAAAAATACGAAGAATCGGGTCGGGCATGTCCTTCTACGGGAGAGTTTGGAGCATTTGTCAAATGCTCCAAAAATATTCCAAAATGGTCAAACATGGTCGAAAAATCGTCCCCCGACTATTTCTGGACTATGTTTGAATATTTCTCCTGTAGAGGGAGGGACGTGCCCGACTTAAGAGTAAGGGATCGCGACTACCGAATTGCTTCACCTCGAAATTGATTCGCTCGTCGAGTCTGCGAAAAAATACGCATAATGCCCGGTAGAGCGCTCTACGCATTCGTTCGTAGACTCGGCGGGAAATTAATGTTGGGGTGAATCAGTTCTGTAGTCGACCCCCTACTCGAAGGATGGGGAACGATAGAGGGGGGCATGCTCAGGAGGGCACACATCGAGCTGGCATCGGCGATGCATCGCCGATAGATCGGCGGTGGGGTTCGCTTCGAGCGGGAGGTCCCGAGCGAAGTGGGCCCCATCTCCCCCCTTTAGAATTAGGTTGGGCATGTCCCCCTACCGGCAGACTTCCGGCAAAAAATTACAAATACTCCGAAAACTAGCCAAACAATAATAGAAACATCAAAGAAAAAAGATAAAACAAAACGTCCCCTGACTATTTTTGAGTAATTTTGAACATTCCTCCTGTAGAGGGACGTGCCCGACTTAAGAGTAGGGGATCGACTACAGAATTAATGTACCCCGAAATTGATTTGTTCGTCGAGTCTGCAGAGAATACGCAGAATGCCCGGCAGAGCATGCTACGCATTCGTTCGTAGACTCGACGGGAAATCAATTCTGGGGCAAATCAGTTCTGTAGTCGACCCCCTACTCGGAGGATAGGGAACGACAGGGGGGACATGCTCAGGACGGCACACATCGTCACATCGAGCTGCCATCGGCGATGCATCGCCGACAGATCGGCGGTGGGGTTCGCTTCGGGCGGGAGGTCCCGAGCGAAGTGGGCCCCATCTCCCCCCTTTAGAATTAGGTCGGGCATGTTCCCCTACGGGCAGTCTTCTGGCGAAAAATGCAAAATACCCCCAAAAATACTCCAAAGTGGTCAAACATAATCAGAAAAAATCGTTCCCCTACTCGGAGGATGGAGAACGATATGGGGGGGACATGCTCAGGAGGGCACACATCGAGCTGGCATCGGCGATGCGTCGCCGACAGATCGGCGGCGAGGTTCGCTTCGAGCGGGAGGTCCCGAGCGAAGTGGGCTTAGGTCGGGCATGTCCCCCTACAGGCGGATTTGGGACGATTTATATATATATACATACATACATACATACATACATACATTGCATTGCATTGCATTGCATTGCATTGCATTGCATTGCATTGCATTGCATTGCATTGCATTGCATTGCATTGCATTGCATTGCATTGCATTACATTGCATTGCATTGCATTGCATTGCATTGCATACCTACCTACCTACCTACCTACCTACCTACCTACCTACCTACCTACCTACCTACCTACCTACCTACACACACACATACATACATACATACATACATACATACATACATACATACATACATACATGCATGCATTGCATTGCATTGCATTGCATTGCATTGCATTGCATTGCATTGCATTGCATTGCATTGCATTGCATTGCATTGCATTGCATTGCATACCTACCTACCTACCTACCTACCTACCTACCTGCCTACCTACCTACCTACCTACCTACCTACCTACCTACCTACCTACCTACATACATACATACATACATACATACATTCATTCATACATACATACATACATACATACATACATACATACATACATACATTACATTACATTACATGCATGCATGCATGCATGCATGCATGCATGCATACATACATACATACATACATACATACATACATACATACATTACATATATATGTATAGATTCGGCAATAGTCATAAATAGTCGAAAAATCGTCCCTCGACTATTGTTTCACTCATTTTGAATACTCCTCCTGTAGAGGGACAGGCTCGACTTTAGAACTCGCGGGCTGGTGGGGCAGGGCTGGCGTGTGGCCTCCTCTCGAGGCGACGGGAGGTCCTCGAACTGCCGAGGGCCCCGGGCCCAGACATCCGCCAGGCCCTCCGTCTCCTCCTCCTCCTCCTCCTCCTCCTCCGACGACGACGACGACGACGACGACGACGACGGCGGCGGCGGCGGCGGCGACGGCGACGGCATCGACGGCAACGGCGACGGCGACGACGGCGACGGCGACGGCGACGACGACGACGACGACGGCGACGACGACGACGACGGCGGCGACGGCGGCGACGGCCGCCGCCACCGCAGAGGGGATCGCCGAGGGGCCGCCGCGGGCCGCAGGCCGCGGTGCTGCGCGCGGAGCCGCGGCCGCCGGGGCCACCGCGAGGGGCCGCGGCCGAGGGGGGGGGCCCCGGGAGAGCCCGCTGGCCTTGCGGTGGAGTCAACCAGTAAAGCAAGGATGCGCGATAAGGACGCAAGGGCCTTGGACGCCCATCTCGAGGCGTTTCGAGCGGGGCGCGGCCAACGAAGGTGGCCAAGGATGGACCGAGGGGGCGAGGATGCAAGGGTACCTTTGGAAAGGTTGCCCATCCTTACTATCATGGTTGGCTGTAGAGGGAAGCAACTAATGGACACTCCCCGTCTCCCCCAAAATCAAAGTTGGCACGCGCGTGGGCGACTGCGGTCGAAGTGCAACTTATCAAGTCCTCCGCCAGCTTTGAACACTGGGGGCAGGAGGAGGTGTTGCCCGAAGGATGTGGCAGGAGTGTTCGCTATTTGTTTGCGAGGATTGCGGGTCGGGCATGTCCTCCCACAGGCGGATTCTGGAAGTGAGCAACACCGCCAACATAATATCCAAAGACAGCCGAACCTGTGGTCGAAAAGCATCGCCCCGAGACTATGTTGTTGCCCGTTCTTGCATTCTCCTTCTGTAGAGCGACATGCCCGACTCAGCGCTGGCCCTCGCAGGGCCCCCCTCCCCCCAGCGAGAGGCTTCCCGGTGGCCGCCGCCGCCCGCCGCGGCCCCCGCGCAGCGCGCGCGGCACGGCCCGGGGCGCGGGGCTCCTCGTGGGGCCTGCAGCTCGGGAAGGCCCGCTCGAGCTGGCGCGCGGGCGGGCGGGGGGGGGACCTCGAGCACGGAGGGCTGCCGCGGCAAGGCCGTGGACGGCGAGAGCTCTCGTTGCCCAGAGTGAAGGAGGAGCTCTCGCTGCCCAGAGCGGAGGAGGAGCCCGGAGGTGGCGGGGATTCTCCCTCGGGGCCGGGGCGGCGCGAACGGTTGGTGGCGCGCGCCGAGAAGCTCCGTGGGACGGAGCTTGCATCGTCAGTTCCCTCAGTTCCCTCCTCCCTCCTCCCTCCTCCCTCGTCCCTCCTCCCTCCTCCCCCCTCCCCCCTCCCCCCTCCCTCCTCCCTCCTCCCTCCTCCCTCCTCCCTCCTCCCTCCTTCCTCCCCCCTCCTCTCTCCTCCCTCCTCCCTCCTCCCTCCGCCCTCCTCCCTCCTCCCTCCTCCCTCCTCCCTCCTCCCTCCTCCCTCCTCCCTACTTCCTCCTCCTCACTCCTTCCTCCTTCCTCCTATTCTATTCTATTCTCGTTGGGAGTGTCTGTCAATGCCAGACACCCCTAACAACAAAAACAGAGCTAGTCCGAATCCTCTCCCCTCTGGGGGGGCTCCTGACCAGCTGGCGGCAGCAAGCCGAACTTGGAGTAGAGCTCGGGAATCGTCCAAGCTTCACCCCACGTGGAATCAAAAACTTCACCGTCCTCAGCCTCTCTATCCTCCAGAACCTGGACTCCCCTCCTCGTGGCACGAACCAGCGCGAGGAGGTCAGACGGCAGCGGCGCCCTCTGGTCGCTGACCCGCCAACCTCTGTACTGCTTGGCCCAGCTGGGGAAGAGGCCTTTAAATGGACGGTTCCTCTGTTGCTTCAAATCTTTAGTGGGGGGCTGCGTGGGGCAAGGTTTGCACAACGTGTCAACCCCGCCCCAAGCGTAGCCCCCACATCTGATGCAACTCATCACCCACCCACTCCCCGCCACCCGAGCTCCCGCCCCGTCCCAGACCTTATACATTCTAAGGTTGTGACCTTGCAAGAGCACGATAGCTTGGCTCTCAGACACAGCTTTGGCACTGGAATCACTAGCTGTCGTGTCCGAAAACAGGGGAGTTTTAAAACTCATCAGGGTCCTTCTAGCACCGAGACGATCAGCCGCCTGAAGCGACCTGCGCACAAGGGCACGCTGCCTCTTGGCCTTCGCGTGCCAGGATGGTTCAGGGGCCAGGCCGTCCTGCTCATCAGGGGGCTCAGGAAAACCAGACGAGTCCGACCACGAACGCTGGCTCATGAGGACGTCCTGGACCCCTCCCCACCGAATTATTTCCTCCTGGAGGCTCTGAAGGGCACCTACTTGCTCCTTGGCCTGCGAGACATCAGGGTGTTTGGACGCACCTAGCTTAGCAAACCTGTCTGCATGCCGATTCCCTTGCCTCTCGAAGACAGTGGATCGGCCCTCTAGGATATCATTCATCGCGGCGTGCCCCAACGTTTTGTGGGCCACGATTCCATCTTCAAAGACATGCCAGACACGAGACCACACATGGGCCCTGGGATTACTCGAGCCTATCGATCCAAGCCGATCCCAGACGCACCCCAGGGTCCCCTCACAGTCCGTGTAGGCCTCAAAGTTGCCTGTAACAATGTCAGCAAGCATTACATACGCGAAATCTTCCCCATCACGGGCCTGCTGGAACGGTGCCGCCTGTAATGGCACTGGCCCATATGCAGCTGAGATGAGGTCACCATTAGCAGACACAGCGCAGATCGACCATCCAGCTCGACGAAACCTGGAAGAGGTGGGGTCGAGAGCCGATCCATCAGTGAAGAGGTGACCCGACAACATCCCACTAGCAGGCTTATTAAACCAAAACACTTGGCACTCACTGGTCGATAACGCTGGGGTCGTGAGCTCACGCGGATCTGGCATCAGCCCTGCAGCAAACTTCTCAAGATCTTGACCAAGCTCACATGCTAATCTGGCGGCGCGCTTGGTCTCGTCGCTGAGGTGCTCACGACGGTCAGCATCGGAGGCAGCGCACTCGAATCTCCTGTGGAATAGGGTTCCTGGGGCACCTAAGCAGAGACGACACACATTGTCTGGCGCAAGGTGTTGATCACATTATCTCTGTTGAGTCCAGGTGCCCATGGAGAAACAATTGCGAGCACACGCCTGATGGTGGTCATGCCACACCTCATTTTGGGCCCCGTTGATGACCTTCAAGGCCCCTTCCCAAAACACAGGACGGACCCAGGACTTATTGAGGCACGGTCGAAGCTTCAAGCCTTTCATATCTGCCCTGCGTCCTGCATCTCTTTCCGCCAGAGCTCTGACCGACAAAGGGGCAAGCTGGAGGAGGTCAACTTTCCCACCGTCCGCTTTCAACAAGATCCTCGCACTGACAGGCCGCCAACCTATTTCCGACAGCGTGAGCAGCAAGACGTGCGCAGGCGAAGTTGCACTCAGCCACGGCCTGCGCGTAGAAGACATTGCATCCACAGCAAGCTCGAACACATACTGCATCACACACAAAGGAGGTGTGCCATCCCATATTGCACGCGCCCATTGATGTATTACATTAGCATGATACAGGACGTACGGGTCCATGGCTCTGCCCCTATCATGCGCGCGCAGCTTGTATGATGTGATCGCTCCAGCTTTATGCTTGGATAAGCTCTTGCACGCTGATACCCTTAGTGTGTGCACTTGGCTTGCAGTAAGACCCGCTACAGCTGTACCCCAAAGAGCTCCCGCTTGAGGCCCCGCTCTGTATACATTACTGACCTCAGCACCAGCCGCTTTCAGTTTCCAGAGCCGGCGAGCTTTTCGAGCTGCACCTCGGAGTCGCTTTAGTGAAGTCGCATTCCTTCGAATCCTTCTGCATACGGCATCACAACCAAGAGACCTGACAGCTACTTTCGCCGTGTACTTAAGATGCTTCCAAGCTTTCTGGAGACCTTCTGACACATCCTGAGCCGACGCCAAGAAGACCGTTTTCTTCCCCGAGACGACCAACTCCAAGTCATCAAACCCCTGTCTTAGTTGGATGCCCGCTGCTGAGAGATTCTCTACCACGAACTTGGCAGTGCCCAGCAGCTGCAGCGAAACGTCGTCGACGACGTTCCTAATGTACAGGGAGGGGAAGGGTCGCGCCAAGCAGCACAGCACGCGGTACAAGACTATCTTGGCGAATGACGTCGCCAACCTGCAGCCAGCCAAAATGGTACCCGTCGTGCGAAAGACCCCAGACGTCGCTCCAGAGAAATCGATGGCCCTGGGCCCCGTGTACAGAGCAATAGCCGAAACCGTAAGGCCCAGATGACACCCACTCTCTTTGGCTTCATCAAACAGGATCCCAGGAGCAACTCTTTCATAAAACTTTTCGAGGTCTTTGCACAACGTGGCCGACTCGAATCCTTTAGCACGCGCAAATTCAGCAAGCATTGCACGTTGCCATCCAGCACGGTCGCACTCCTTGTCCCTGGAGCCCCAAAAGAACGGAGTACGATGTTGAGCTTCCCAGGCCCTCATTTCACACTGCCGAACTCGGCCCCAGAACCTGAAAAGCGACAAGATGAGCGCCAAAGGCCTAAGGCCCTCCCCCTCTTGCTTGCCCTGAAAGACAATGATCGTGGGGTACTCATCTGGAATGTTGAACGGGTCCCTCTCCCAGGCCATCATCACATCTATGAGCCTAATGAGGAAATCCTGAGGCAGCAGGGCCCAAGACCTAGGGTTGATGTCATCCGCTCCGAGGCCCGCTTCGTGCTTGAAGCGGTGCAGGGCCCACATCACAACTTGCAGATCGGGTCTTCCAAGAGGTTCCGACTGTTTAGCTAACTCCAGTTGCCTTTCGGAAAGCCCCGACCTATGACTCTGCCAGTACCCGTTCCATTCACTCTCGAGCGCCTGGATCGCCATGTCCCCCTGGGTCTCAAAACCTTGGTCCCCACGAGGTCCAACCACAGGCATCTTCATCTTGCTGTACCTGTGGGCCTCCTTGCCTCCCTTAGTCACTGACTCCTTAGCCCACGCTTTCCACTTAGCCCATCTCTTACGCGAGTGCTGGCTGAGCAGGTGATCGTGCGTTGATCTGGCCGTGGGCAGGAAAAAACCCAGCTCTCGGCCATCAGTGGCCGTGATAGCCTCGATCATGTCGCTGATCGAAGGCGCAATGACTAAAAACTGAGGCAGCAGCAGCTCTTCGTCTAGCCGAAAAAGGCCGGCCTTGACGCTCTCCCAGAGCGTGCCCTCGAAGTTTTCCGCAGCACAGTGTTCAGCTTTAGCAAGCAAGGCCACGAGCGAGCGCCACGCCCTAAGCTGGGGAGTAGAGTTGGAGAACCACTTCTTCCGCAAAAACAGCTCCAGAGGCAGGACCTTCCGCTGGAACCCTTGGGACCTCCCAAGATAAACCTGTCTAGCTTCACCGTATATATCGCATATTCGACAAAGCTCAAACTCCGCATTGGTAAGCCACTGTTCCCAAGAGCCCAAGAAATCGATATCATCTCGTCCAGGATCCCAAGACCAAATTCTATGTTCAGGCTGTCTGATACACCCTATCGGCTTCTTTGTCGGGAAGCGCTTCCTCTTAAGCCTAACGTGGATCGGGATCGACATCGAGATTCCTTTCAGCCAAAGCTCGACAGGCGAGTGAGGACTGATGGGCGCGTCGTGGAGCACCCTGACACTCTCGACGCACTGGCTCAGGCCGTGCGACAGCAAGAAAAAATCTAGATTGTTGCCAGCTCCTGCACTGCACGTCGCTTCAGCTGAAGCCACCACCGACGCTCCAAGCTGGGAGCACCAAGCTTTCAGACCTTCCGAGTTCGGCTCCATGTTAGCGTCGCAGCCGATGACCCAGGGCACGGTGAGGGACTCCAGGAACCTTCCAAGCCCAGCTAAGAGGTCCGCATTCTCGCCCTTGACCCCGATCGAATGCCAGAAATAAACTGAGACCCAGACTATGCCCCCAGGAAGCACAGCTTGAACATGCCTAGCACAGACCCTACCTGCGGCTTGGGTCACCTTGGTGATCTCCTGGGCCTCTAA